TACCGAGCCTGCTTGACTTGATGGGCAGCCCCTTAATCAAGTTCTTCGCATACAACCCCAAACCTCATGACCGACGCGAAGCCCTGCCTTTGCCATTGGCCGTACTTGCAGCATGGGAAGAGCACATAGTTTCGCCTGCATGCACGCCGGGCGTGGGCTTGCTACTAGGCGCCTTGCTCTTGTGCGCACATTTTAGCCTTAGGTTTGGGAGAGAATCAAGCCGTCCGCTCGTCGCTGTCCGCACAAGCACTTAGTGGCCTGTGTTGGGCTCCAGGTCGCCATGCATTCAGCCAAACCAAATCGCATCGTGGGCAGAGCGCTTGGAATCAAAGCTCACATCCGAACGCGTGTCCAGCCTCGTGGAGACCTTCAAGGTTTAGGTGTTGGACGCTGACACTACGCCATCCATCCGCCTTCTTAGCCTAGTGCGCGAGGGCCTGAAGCCCGGGCAGTCTCTGAAGTGGGTGCCCTGGCAGTATCGCGTTTCATCGCGTCAATACCAGGAACGCACGGAGGCAAAGTACGGTCAGAACTGCAGCTCCTGGCTCAGGCCTCCCAGACGTGTCAGTAGAGCACCACTCGCTATCAGCGGGGTGGCTCGCCCGCATCCAGACCGTTTTTCGCAATGCCCTGGCCTTGTGCCAAGCAGCCGTTGTGGGGCCAGGCCGGCCGCGGTTTGGCTGCCCGATTGGTAGGGTGCTTTTGCTGGCAGCCCATGATGGCGCACACGTGGGCGAAACGGCACTAGTCGTTAGTGCAAAGGCCCGTCTGGTAGCGCCGGCAGACTTTGCACCCTTACGTGCACCACTCTGCTTTGGGCTTAGGCGATGGTAGGGCTCCTTTGGACTTCCCCTTGCCTTTCTTTGTGGGGCCTGAAAGTTTGGGCTGGCCGCTGGCCTAAGGTCGCGATTGGGTCCCCTCTGCCTCGGTGTCGCGGGAACTGTAGAAGGCTGTGCGCATCGTTTCTCATGTGCGTCAGCTCGTACAAGGCATCATCCAGGGACCATTGCTGCCCTAGGAGGTCGGATATGGCTGCCCAGAGCTTGCGATCCGCGGAGAGGAGCTCTTGTGTGTTCAGCGTGCGAAGGCCAAGGCTGGGATCTGGCTGTGTGAGACACAGGTCGGCTATCTTTTTGTCGAAGGCCTTGAGACTCGACAAGTGCGCTGTACGCAGCCTTCACAGTTGCCCATGCCGGTAAAGGCCAACTGCGCGCACCACAACGAGCCTTGCGCACCGCCAAGGTCCAACGCAAGCTCATCGGAACCACCGTTGCATTCGGCCTCTAAAAAGCTCTTTTTAGACGTGTTTGCAGGTAGGCTACACCCGGTGACGTCAGCAGCCATTAGCCTTGGCCTTGACTGCTTTGAGCCTTTTGATCTGGATGGAAACACCGCGCATGACATACTTGACAACGAATTCTTTGAAGCCCTTCTCAGACTCTGTTGGTCAGGAATCGTGGTGTTGATAATGCTTGCCCCGCCTTGCAAGGAATATTCCAGACTCAAATTACGCCCGGGCGGGCCCAAAGCCTTCAAAACGCCGCAACACATGAACGGGGTCCCAGGCCTTTCGCCGTCGCGACGCAAAAACTGCTGGATAGCAAAACTATGCACGATCGCGGCAGAGCCTTGTTCAGAGCAGTAGTTTCCAAAGGAGGCGTAGGCATCTGGGAACAACCGCCCTCCGCCATGTCCTGGCTGGAAGAGGCCAATTTCCAAATGCTGCGCGACCGCCAATGCGCCCCAGTGTGGGTAGACGCCTGCAGGCGTAACAAAGCCTTCACCAAATCATGGGCTTTCGGCTGCAACAGCTCAAAAATCCAGGCCCTGGAAGCCCGTTGCAATCACTCCTACAAGCATCAAAGCATTGCAGGCGTGAAAGAGCAAGGGGTATACCTCAGTTTTGGAGGCCGTTTCTCGGTGGAAAAAAGCCTTATTTGGTGTGGCTGGGAGATCAACTTCTCCCACGACACCATTCAGCTCGTGTCCGCTAAACTGACGAAGCTGGACGCCTTGATCAAAGCACTGCTGGGGAGCAAACGGGTACTCCGAAAAACACTCGAGCAGTGCATAGGCCTGCTCATTTGGATCGCGCCATACACTGCCCTCAGGACATCCCGCGTGTGCCGGGCACAAGCAAACCCACGTGGGTACGTATAGCAGATCCCAATAACCCTTATACTAGCCTCTCCAAGTCAAGCCAGCAATGCCTCAGCGCTCGCCAGATTCAGCCATTGCCCTGAGAGTCGCGTACGCTTCAGCCCTGCGGGCCTTGCGCTGTCAGGCAGAGGCATTCAGCTGTATCCGATAGATGCGCCCTGGCGCCCAGAACATCTGGCAGCTGCCTCCAGCAGTGCGCAGCTGAGTTAACTGCACGAAAATTGCAACGGCCAGGAGGTCGTGAACATTTTATTAAGGCTTGCTTCCGTTGCCGAATTGTCAGTGCCTGAAGGCATGCTGAACGAGTAGTGCCCACCACCAATATGGCTGTGGGTAGCTTGCAGCAGTGCCAACTGCGCCAGTGTCTCGAAGCATGCGATGTACCGCTGTCCAGGCTTGACAAGGCAAGGCCATACTGCCCGCATGTCCTGCATGTTCCAGGTTTCGGCAAACCAAACCATTTGTGAGGAAGTGATTGCCCAGCCCCCTCTTCCTACCAAGTCGTCTTCGGCACACGCATCCGCGGCTGCCAGGGCTTGCAACAACCTCGCCCTGGCAACCAGAATACCTGGCTGCGTCAGCCAGCAGCTTGACATCAAGCCGCTTTGACTAAAAAAGAGCGGACCCTGAGCGACAGGGTGCTCACAACCAAGCGCATGCAATGTCATGCTGACATTTACCCTGCCAGGTGCAACCCCGCTCTAAAGGGGGGGTGATGAGGCGGCCCAGCTGGCTCGCTTATACCGGGGTTGCCTGAAACACTGAAGGGGGGGTCAACGCACCTCCTGCTCCAGGCGCACCGTGCCCTGGAAGCAGTGCTACTTTCAGCAATCCCGGTAAAAAGAACTGCGGCCGCCTCGGACTT